TAATAACTTCAATGACTGAAAATTTATTACGATAAATGGATTTTTGATTAATTATACCCTACACCACAAGGTGGTCAGGGTCAGGTATTATATCTTTGTGCATTTGTTTGTAACAGGCAAAAGGAAACGAGATAGACCCATAGTTCTTTTTGAATCACATTCTGAGTCGATTTATGCATGTCCGTCAGTCCGTCTGTCCATGTATTTTTGTAAACAAAGTACAGTTCGCATTTATTATCCAATTAAGATGAAATTTTGCACAAGTTATTTGTTTGGCCCAAGGACGAACCCTTTAGATATATTTTAGATTTAGCTCCCATATATAGATATAGCTCCCATATACGAAACGTGTAATATCAGCCCGAATAGTATGGAATTTTGCACATACGACCGAATTGAGTCTAGAAGGTAGTGTGCCAAATTTGGTGAAGATCGGTTCAGATATAGCTATAGCTCCCTTATATATTGTTCATTCGATTTGTTATTTTTGTCCTCCGCAGCCGTAATATGCACTCTGTAACAACAATATTTGGGGAAATTTATCAAATACAGCTCAGAAATACACTTGCTAAAATTTATCGACATCGGTTCAGATTTGGATATATCTCCCATATATAACTTCGTTCAATTTACCTTTTATTGTACACCAAACGTCTAATATTTACCCAAATGGTATGAAATTTGGCACTTACGGCCGGATTGAGTTTAGAAGCTAGTATGTCAAATTTGGTGAAGATCGGTTCAGATATAGTTATAGCCCCCATATATACTGTTCATCCGATTTGTTATATTTGTTACTCACAGCCGTAATATAAACTCCGTAACAACGATATTCAGGGATTTATATCAAATACAGCTCAGAAATATCTTTACCAATTTTTATCGAGATCGGTTCGGATTTGGATATAGCTCCCATATATATCTTTATCCGATTTCAAATTAATTGTGCACCAAATGGGCAATACAAATCCGAATTTAGTACTTTGAACTTTAAATTATAATTATAATCATAACGTGTATGATAGAATTCTCCCGTAAAAACTTTTAATTGTTATGTGGAGCTCTACTAAATTTGCAAAGTGGTGTAGGGTATCATAAAGTCGTCCCCGCCCGACTTTAAGACTTTTTTTTACTGTTTTTTTTTTTTTTTTTTTTTTTTTTTTTGTCAAACTGAACAAATTACGCATTTGGAACGAATATAAAACTCTAATGTGCACTTTTCCCTGAAAAGGTAGTGGGACTTTCTAGTAAAATTTATAAAATGTTTGTTGCTAAGAATAAATGCGGCGTATTGAATATAGTCTAAGAAAATTATTTTTACAACAATCGAATTCTATTTTTTACACTTTTACTAAGTTGGACCCTATTGGCAATGCTGTGGGGTTAAAATACATTGTTCGTTGTGGGTAAAATTTCTTATAACCGATATTAGTTATATCTGAAGTCTATTGCATACATTTTTGCTCTAAGTCAATTTTACATAAACACCACGTAAAAAAGAAAAAGAAAATAAAATCCGCAAGTTCAATTTACCCATAGAGCATTGTACTGAATTGCATCAAAATAGCATGTCTTTTATACATTATGGCCGCCAGCAGTAGATCATTGATTCTTATCCAAATCGAATAAATCATGGCATGACTTGCATTCCATTACTTCCTTACCACACACAAAAAAATTAAATTTCATTGATTTCCTTTTCCCTTGAACCAACCAACCAACCAACATCAGAGTCTTAGCCAAATTTATTAAAGCATTTCAACAATTAATTAAAATTGTTTTTGCTGTCGGTAGTCATTAAAACTCCATAAATGGCAGACATTGTTCATCTAATGCTCTTTTTACTCTGTGGCAGTTAAAAATTGCGATGGTGGTGATGATGATGGTGGCGCTACAGCCCACACTTCTTAGTGTTGTTGGCCACAGTAAAACCAAACACCAAATATTTTTTTGGGTAAATTTCCCATTGAAAACTATTGCCGGTTATTGTTTGTCTGCCAGCCAGCGATGGTGTGAGGTTCACTCATTCATTAATTCTCCCATTCATTGACAAAATTTAATTTCCAAAACCAAAAAAAAAATGTCAGCCACCACCAACCAATTCTGCTAATGACGTTTGTCATCCGTCATGTAATGTGAGTGGCTTTGGCTGTCGTTTCGATTTTATTTTCCTTTTTTTGTGAAAAAAAAAAACGCTCCCACATGCGAACTTGGTTTTTTTTTGTTGTTGTTTGTATTTCCTTAAGTGAAGCTTCTTAGCAGACATAATCTGAAATCTATTAATGTCCAAACAATTAGCATAAAATATCAATTACAATTTCAAGAGATTTTTTAAGATTTATTTGTTTATTTTGTCTTTTGTTTGTTTGTATGGATGTTTATGGAGCTGTTATTGGTCACCTATGGATATTTTATTACAAATCTGTTTATTTTGTTGTCCAATTATCGAAAAATGTGGGTGTTCATTGGCAACTGTCGTTGAGAGTTTAGAGATTCACTGAAATGTTTGGACGACTGAATTTTTGGATATGACCATAGAAGAAAGTAAGCATTGATCAATGCCCTTTACTACGGCCAGAAACGATTTTTTGAGGTATCTGTTGTACTCCGACTGGGATGACCCCAAAAATCGTCTGCTGAATAAATCAATCGAGTGCGATATCAACATCTGACAGTAACGAATTGACAGAGTTGGCTAAAATTTTTAAATGAACCATACCGGTCCCATTCCCAGTGTAAAAGCACTTCCGATTTTCGATATTTCGAAGATTCTGGCCACTTTTTTACCGGTGTGGTCAAAAGTTTGGAATTAGCATACAATTTGTAAAAAGAAACTTACCTGTGGCAACTAATAGACAACGTTATAGTACAGTGTAAGATGAAAAAACTACAACCAATTTCAGTCTGCTGTCATATTCTAAGCCACTCGTCCGACAGCTCTTAAAATTATTCCACTGACAGCTCATTATATTGTTTACAAGCGTACAAAAATCATTTTGGTGACAATTTTCCAGAAAAAAAGTTATTGGTGATGGAATTCAAGGGTGATAGTGTGATTTCTTTATATTTGGCTTTGAAAACCTCAAGTGGCTACCGTTAGAGCACTCCAACACTAAACAAATCTTTTGTGTATCGTACCATCGCTCGTTACCGTGATACTGGTAGCCTAGCCCGACGTCAAGGAAGTGGACGGAAGAAAACAGCAACATCAGCAGAAATGGTTTGGAAAGTAAAGAAGCAACTTGATCGAAACACGCGTCGCAGTGGCCGAAAAATGGCTGGTGAGCTGAACATATCGCAACATTCCATTCGGCAAGAACTTACACCGCAACAGAAAGAAAATAGACTCTAAAGAGCTAAAGAGTTGCTTCGAAAGTGGTGAACTGCTGAATTTGGCATTCTCCGATGAGAAAACATTCGTTGTCCAGCAGTTTGTAACAAACAAAATGATCGTGTTTACTTGCCAAAGAAGTCAGCTGAAAATCTGCACATTCGGTTGGCCACTAGAACTCAAGCGCCGGCCTAGGTGATGGCGTGGGCCGCCATAACAGCCGATGGTCGCTCTCCGCTCGTATTAATCAACAATGGAATAAATCGAAAATCAGACTATATGCCGAATATTATCGAGTAAACATTCTGGAGGTGTACTAAAGCCTTGGGCACGCAAACATTTTGGACATTCCAACAGGACTCAGCACCACCGCCACCAAAGAATGGTTACAATATGAGGTACCTCGTTTCATTTCCAGTGCTCAATGGCCACCAAAATCTCTACCATTCCGTTGAACTGGAGTATTTTGAAAAGCAAGGTTGGCAAGAGCTTCGCCGGGAATGGGCCAAAAATACCGCAGAGCAACATTCGGGCAGCATGTGACGGTTTCATTGGCCGTTTGATGGCCATAATTCGTGCCAAAGTTGACCAATTCGAACATTCTAAAATTTGATGCTATTTCCGACATTTTTTGCTTTCATTCAATAAAATTAAAAAATAAATAAATAAATAAATAAATAAAATAAATAGCGTTTGACTTTGTTATAGTTTTTTTTATCTCATATTTACCAATATTAAGAATTTGTAAATTTCATTCAATGTTTTTTTGAGCCGTGTAGCCGTATGTTTTTTTATACAAACCCCTTTTCTTAAACTAAACTTTTTAATATTATTAAATAATAGTGATATTAAATAATAGTAATTTGAATACACACATATTTTAATTACAAAATCAAGCACAATTATTTGCATTAACTGCGATGACGATCTTTAACTTTTGCCCAGGCTACAGTATTAGCAACAACAACAAAAAAAGCAAATGATTTAAATATTCAAAGCATCAAATACTCTCATTTTCATTTATTAAAAAAGCAAAAAACCGCTCCGTGACCAACCAGAAATGGCACATTAAATAAAAAAATAATGATAATTGTGGTTAAAATGCCAGGCCACAACCACCAGACATGGGAGAAACACCAGAAATACCCCGGAATGGCCGACATGAATGACTGGGAGAAATGGCAGAAATTAAATTAAATATGCAAACTTTCGATTTTGTTTCGCCACAATTTTCTTCGTTTGGTTGATATCATAAAAATTTCTGGTATTTTGTTATAATTTGTTATAGTTGGTGTTTTTTCGTATCACACATGAATGTACGCATAATTTTGATGGTGATTTGAATAATGACATAACCGTTTGTGTTTAACAAGGAGGGCGGGTTGAAAAATATAGTAAAGAAAGAATAAAAAACGGCCATAGAGGGCGCGTTTTCAAAAAAAAAAAAAATTATTTATTGTTTTCTTATTGGTATCTAGTGTCTTTTCTTCACTGTTAAAAATTCCAGAGAAAATTGTTCTCCCAAATAATCTTTAGGAAAGGTTATACTTTTAAGAAACAAATTAGGTATAAGAATAAACACAATATTGTTATGCTGTCCGGGCATTTTGGCCAACAATATATCAAGTAGGAAATATGGAAGACATTACAATGTTTATAACCTGCTTACCTTAATATTCCGTTTCTAAGAGATCTGAAACAAAATTAAAAGTAGATGTATATTAATAATTATTTTTGTATATTTCCAATGAGTCAATCCTCTTAAAAACAAGTTGAGCGTTTTGTTTTTCAAAATCTGGAACCCTATGTGGGGGAGGTACCAAAAGAAATGTTCTGATCTCTACCATCTTTATAACAGATCTTGTGTTGATGGACAAATTGATATGTATCAAGTCTGAATGGAATCGGATGTTCATTTCGCGTTTTTTGGAGGTACCAGAAGAAATGGTCCGATCAACAATAATATTTATTAAAAATCTGCAATGGCCCTTGAAAGAAACATTTCTCTCTGGTTCCTTAAAAATAGTATTGAAATCCACGAGAACTGATCTATGAGTCTTTAAAAAATATTATTAATAAACCAAAATATTGACCTGTAGGTCCTTTAAAAAAAAATCGCCATAGAATTTTATTCTGATCAAGAATATATGTATAATAAAATGTATATTTTGAGGTGTTACAACCCTCCATACTATGGTGGAAGGCATAAAAATTGGCATGTTTATTATGTGGGTCCTTAATAAAATATTGAACTGGGTAAGTCCGGAATTTTTGGTTTCCGAGATCTCAAAAAAAATCCGAGATCTCAAAAAAAAAAAAAAATCTTTAAAAGCCCTATAAAGAATTAAGTCTGTAGATCTTTTAGAGAAAAAGCGTAATAAAAAAGTAATTTCATAACAAAAGACTTAGGACACAAGCTTGGCCATTGATAATTAACACAACAAGGGGGCTTGTATCTTAAATGTTTTGACTTATCTTAAATGAGGTCGTTAATTTTTATACCCTCTACCATACTATCTAGGGTATATTAACTTTGTCATTCCGTTTGTAACTCCTCGAAACACTCATGTCAGACCCAACAAAGTATATATATTCGTGATCAGCGTAAAATTCTAAATTCTAAGTCGATTTAGCGATGTCCGTCTGTCTGTCTGTTGTAATCACGCTATCTTTCGAATGAATTGAGATAGATGGCTAAAATTTTGCACACATGTTTATTTTTCCAGTAGGCAGGTTAAGTTCGTAAATGGGCCATGTAGGTCCACGTTTTCATATAGCTCCCATATAACGGTAACCCCCCTATATTCCGTATTTTGATGATTTTAGCGACGTTATTCACCGGAATTGTTTCAAATTTGGTATTTGAAGTTCCAAATGGATACTACACCCTAAGATAGAAAATTGTCTGTGCAAGTCTATGTCTTCGTATAGCTCCCATATAACGGTACCTTCCGATATTCGGTATTTTGATGATTTTAGCGACATTATTCACGGGAATTGTTTCAAATCTGGTATTTGAAGTTCCAAATGGATACTACACCCTAAGAAAGAAAATTGTCTTTGCAGGTCCACGTCTTCGTATAGCCCCAATATAACGGTACCTCCCTATATTCGGTATTTTGATGATTTTAGCGACGTTATTCACCGGAATTGTTTCAAATTTGGTATTTGAAGTTCCAAATGGATACTACATCCTAAGACTGAAAATTGTCTGTGCAGGTCCACGTCTTCGTATAGCCCCCATATAACGGCACCTCGCTATGTTCGGTATTTTGATAATTTTGGCGACATTATTAACCGGAATTGTTTGTGCGGGTCCAGTTTCGAATTTGAATATGGTAATGGCTTATGACAAACAATGCATATGTATGTCCACGTCGTATAGACCCCAATGTGACGGCTATATTCGGTATTTTTAAAATTTTAACAGAATTTTTTAAGGATTTTATTTTTTGAAAATTTCCAAATTCGTTGCAAATGGTGGAGGGTATTAAAAGTTCGGCCCGGCCGAACTTACTGCTTTTTAACTTGTTTTTTTTAATTCACGATTATTGATTTTGGGTCCTCGAAAAAATATTCTTTAAAAATCCATGACTATTGTCCTGTCGGTTTTTGAAGAAATATTTTTTAAGAATCCACGAACAATGATCTGTGGGTCCGAGGAATTTGTGGTCCTTGAGAAAATATTTACCAAACATATACGATTATTAATCCAGTGGTCCTGAAAAAATGTTTAAGATAGTCTTTTGTCTGCATGCATGTCAAGTTCGAAGATGGGATATATCGGTCCACGATATTGTATAGCCCCCAGATAACGGTAATTAAATGATGTTAGTCACATTTTTCAGTGGTACTGCCTAAAAACCCACACAACGAGTTTGTTCTGATTACTTTACCACCTGAAAAAGATTTGTTTATATAGGACACGTACCATCGTGAACCCACAAGGGTACGGATGACTTAACGACATTTTCAATTGTTTCAAATTCCGTATTTAAAGTTCCTAATGGGTACTACATCATATGACAGTTATTGCTCATACAGGTTTACGTCTTCATAAAGCCCCCATATAGCGGTACCGCCCGAGATTCGGTATTTTGATGATTTTCACACATATTTCAATGGAATTGTCTGAAAAACCACACAAAGAATTACTTCTGACTATGAAATAAAATTGTTTATATAGGACACAATATCCTACCATCGGTGACCCACAGCGGTACCCCTACTACGACAGTTTCTTTAACGTCATTTTTACTGGAATTGTTCAAAATTTCGTATTTAAAGTTCCTAATGGCTACTTTATTCTATGACAGTTATTGATCATACAGGTTCACGTATTCGTATGGCCCCGTCATATAACTGTATTTGATAATTACAGGGGCATACACCGGAATTGTCTCAAATTTAAGTTCGTAATGGGTACTACAGCCTACGACAAAAATTACTTATGCAGGACCACGTCTTCGTTAGGCCCGTATAAACGGATTTCCTTTGAGCGGTATTTTCGACAGATTTTGTAGGCCCGTCCGAACTTAGCTGCTTTTTGCGTCTTAAATTAATAAAATAATTAAAATAATAATAAAAATTTTATTTTATAACAAAAGACTTAGAACACAAACTTGGCAATTGATTAATAACCCAACTAGGGGGTTTGTGTCTTAATTCTTTTTGCTTATCTTTAATGGCACACAACACCTGGAAATAGTTTGAAGAGATTATAACAAAAACTTGCATGACACAGTGACACGTTTAGCGTTATTTCAAAGCTTTGCATCAAAACAATGACAAATTTTGATTTTAATTAAGATTTTTTGTTATATCTCTTCAACAGGTAGCCATCCAAATGGAGAGGTTAGGGAGATGTCAAAAGAGTACAAAAAATCCGAAACGTTAAAAGTTTCTCATGGAATTTGCTTAGAAGCGAAACAAAAAAAAAGGCCACAGTCACAAAAAGTATCAAAACTTTAACAACAACCTAGCATTGTTTGTTTATTCTGCTATTGTAACAGAAAAACAGACAGACATCCATACAAGACGATTCCAATGAGGTTTGTTTTATTTATTTTGTTTTGTCTGAGTGTTTTTTTTCTCCTCTATGCCAGAAGAGAAATAACCCCAAAAGCCCAACTCTCAAACAAGTTCTTCGTAGATAGCCAAAATAAAACCGACACATTCGAACAGCAAAGAGAAAACAATGAAAGCCAGTCTTGGAACACACAAAAACAAGATACAACATTTTTGCACACAACAACAGCAAGAGATACATATGTAAAAAATAAAGAAAAACAAAAGCAGACATAGATGAAGAATGGGGAAGTAACAAAATATCATCACACAAAAGGAAAGATATTTGAAACTTCAAAAATAGAAAAAAAACGAACGAACAAAAACAAAATAGTATATAACCGCACCGAACCAAACCACCCAAAAAGTATGCGGTTGTTATGCCATCACACAAACACACATACGGCAAGATATGGGCTATGAATCTCATAGCGACATAGTTTGTAAGGAATGACATTGTACTGGAAATGTTACTCTGCGATTTTGGGCTACAGAGGTAAGAGCTAGGTGGTGGTAAAGTTAAAAAGAGGTATCTGTTTTTTGGGGGGAATATTCTAATGTTAAACGAGAAAACAGAAAAACTTGATTTTTTTTGGTATTTATAAACAAATATTTGGTTAAGTGAGAGCTGGTATTTTTCGGCATGGCCAAGAAATATGAAAGAGGTAAGATCCATGCATAGACACAAGGTGTTAATAAAAAACGTGTTTATTTCATTTGATTTGTCATTGTCATGGGATAGAAAACCTGAATGAATTTTGGGGAGGAAATCGTGTTAATTATTTTGGTTTGCATATGCGATAAGAGGTATCATCTCAAGGGCTATATAGGAAAATATGAAAACTATTTTGCAAAAGTTTTAAGATGTTGTTACGAAAATAATAACATGACTGTAGATCTGGTAGAAAAAATAACCTTAAAAATCGAAAATAAAAAATAACCTAAAAACAAACATACTTTGAAGAATTATTATTGAACAAGTAAAAAAGCTGTACGTTTGGGCGGACCGAACCTCCACCATTTGGAACAAATTTGGCAATTCTCAAAAACAATAAAATCCCTTAAAAATTTTGTTAAAATCTTAAAAATACCAAATGTAGCTGTCATGTTAGGGTCTAAACGACGACGTGAACCTGCATAGGCAACTTTTGTCATAAACCATTACAATATTCAAATGTGAAACTTAAAAAGAAAATCATTAAAATACCGAATATCTGGAGGCGCCGTTATATTGGAGCTATACAAAGACGTGGACCTGTACAGATAATCTCCTATCATAGACTGTAGCATCTATTACGAATATCAAATACCAAATTTGAAAGAATTGCGGTGAATAATGTCGCTAACATCAACAAAGTACCGAATAGCAAGAGGTACCGTTATGGGGGGACTATACGAAAACGTGGACCTGAACAAAAAATCTCTTGTCATAGGCTGCTGCATCCATTTCGAACTTCAAATACTAAATTTGAAACAATTCCGATGAATATTGTCGCTAAAATCATCAAAATACCGAATATCGGGAGGCACCGTTATATGGGGGCTATACCAAAACATGACCCATTTTCAATACCAAAAGTCCTGCAGACATAATATACATTTGAGTAAAATGTTATCAAACTACTT